CCTGATACAGAATAAGTCCTGGTTACGTGTTATTTACATCAATGAACCATTCTGTTCTAGTTATAATCATGGGGAAAGAATTGCTAATGAACTGAACCAGAACAATGATAGAAGCAAAGAAGGACCAGTTTGAGACATAGATGTGTAAAATTGTAGGACTTGGTGATTGTCTGGATGGGGAAAGGGGGAAAGAGTTAAGGATCACTCTAAGACCTCTGAATTAGATGAATAATTGGACAGCTGTGGCTTTAACATGGAAAATAAACAGGGAAGATTTCGAAGGGAATGAAGGTTAAGTCCATTTTGGACATGGTGAGTTTGGGGGTATTTTTAAGCGTATATGTCCAAGCAGGTGGATGGATAGATAAGCGTGTTGCCCTCATAAGCATAGACCCTGATGCAGAGATCGTTGGCAGCAATGAACTACTATTCATTGGCCAATGATTGAGAGGATGGGAGAGGAGGTAAAATGGCCAGATCATTTCACATTGTGTAGCTCATCTACAGCTCATCCAGGAAAACAGAAACAAAATGGAAAGATAAGAGCCAAATGCAGCAGTGCTCTGGGCAAGCAGCCTTGGTGGCAGAGCATCCATTGTGAATTCAGCAGAGGTTTGCTGGGCTTGCAAATAGAAATGGTTATAATTCCCAAAAGTATTTTCTAAGACCGGCTCTGTGAAACAAAGTGTGCTATTGGATGTCCGATTAAATGAAACAAAGATTCCCTATAGGCAACCTTAGGGGCATGTAACATTTGCTCTCACTCACAAGAATTGAGAGTGAAAATGCACTCTACATGGCATATGACACATCATTAACACACCATTAGGCTACCTGAAAAACATCAAATACATAAATCAATGACCAAAAAGAACTGTGCGACACAGGCAGTACATGGACACAAAATCTGTGGGTAGGTCTGTGACTTCCGCACAAGTTTGTCCACTAACAGCAAAATACATTCATAATTTATTAAAAGATAACCCTTAAATTCAATTAGAGGCAGCACTTCAGGGGCTTAGAGCAGATAATTTGATAATTGATGCATCTGTCCTGTTTGTCAGAACAATGGCCCAATGTTATTTAATAAATACAACTTAATAAGATTTCAGAGTTAGTATCCTTATCACTTAGTTTCAAGTATTTATTTGCAACAATTAATATATAGTAAATATTTTCAAATCTGCATTACTATGTACAGAATGTTAACTTTAAAATTTCATATGGAATTTTTGTCCAGTAGTTAAGAATATGAATTTGGGGGGCCAGCTGGTGGCATAGTGGTTAAGTTCACACGCTCTGCTTCAGTGGCCCGGGGTTCGTATCCCAGGTGCAGACCGAAGCACCACTTATCAAGCCATGCTGTGGCGGTGTCCAATATAAAGTAGAGGAAGATGGGCACGGATGTTAGCCCAGGGCCAGTCTTCCTCAGCAAAAAGAGGAGGATTGGCATCGGATGTTAGCTCAGGGCTAATCTTTCTCATAAAAAATAAAGAAAGAATATGAATTTGAGAATGAAGAACCACTGACTCATTTATTTATTCAAAAATTCATTATTTATTATTCAGTAAGTGTCGTAGTACTATGTACAAAAGTACAAGGTGGGCTGTGGAGATACAAAGATGAAAATGACATGTACCCACTGTCTTGTTTATGATCTATTGGGAAAACAATGCAAAAAAAATTACTACATATAAAAAGCTAAAACGGAGCAAATAAATGTGGGATACGAAGGGAGGAAGTCTAGAAGAGAACAAGAGGAACAATGAAAAATATTTTAAATGATAAACAACTAAATACTAAAAGGATTGGGTGGGCTGGTGGAACTTATTTTGCTTTTGCAAGTCACACTGTAGTGGACACTTGTTACTTGTGCCCCAGCATCAATACAGGCCATTCTCAGCCACTGGTTTGGGTGGGGTTACACACAGACAGTTCCAGGGGCAGGCCCTGATTGGCTGAAGTGTAACCTATACTCATAAAGATTGATGACTCAGGAATGGAAGGCTATTAGGACTTCTCGGCAAACAGACTCTCTTTTTAGCTGGACAAGGATGAGAAAGGATGAAGCCCCAGGAGTGGTCTGTAGCCATCTTTCACCAACGAGAAAAGAACCTTTCTGAAAAGGGAATTAGCACTGAAGATGCACAGCTGAAACATGGAGAGACTGAGCCCTGGTCACATCACTGAGCCCTGAATCAAGTCATGCTTCATGGTTATGTGAGCAAATTCCTTTTATTGTAACCAGGTTAAGTTGTGTGATCTGTATCTTGCAACCTGGAGAGGCCTAACACAGCTATTTAAAAATTAATGTAAATGAAACCTAGGGGAACGCATTTCTCTGAACTCCTCTCCTCCTCCTCCCAAAATAACAAGCATGTTCAATAACAGCATCATCAAATGATGCTCAAATGATCGAGGAACATCTCAAATGACGGCAAGGATTATAAAATATATCTAATATCATGTTACATGCAGAGGTGTGGCCCAAAGAAACCTTCTGGGGCAAATCTAAGCGTAAATGCTTTGTAAATAAAATGAGGACTTAATTTACCATTCTAAGGTGGAACATCATGCCCCCACTTTCCTAGTTTTGTCTACTGTGAGTGCAAAGAGTCTGAGAATAAATGAACACATGCTAGAAGGTAAGGGTCAAGCCCGGAGGCTTTTTAAAACAAGAGACGCGATGAACGCAAGTTACTTGATGTGAAATGACGCCGACTCTAATGTATGAAGATCAAATGAAAATTGAAAGTTGAAGGGAGCAGGGGCCAGCCAGTGGTGTAGTGGTTAAGTTCGTGCGTTCTGCTTCAGCGGCCCAGGGTTAAACTGGTTCGGATCCTGGGCAGGGACCTACTCACACTCATCAAGCCATGCTGCGGCAGCGCCTCACATATAAGAACTAGAAGGACCTATAACCATGTTTTGGGGCTTTGGGGAGTAAAAAAAAAAAAGGAAGAAGAGGAAGATTGGCAACAGATGTTAGCTCAGGGCCAACGTTAAAAAAAAAAAAAAACTGAAGGGGGCAGATATTTTATCCAATATTTAAATGATATTCCAATTAAATTATCAAATGTTTGAAAATTATTCATACTAAAATACTTTATCAACTCTTAAGTATATGTATTTCCAACTTTGATTATATTTTAAAGATATATACCTATAAAAGCACAAAGGTAATGTGTGAATAGTACCAAACAGCTTTCTCAGCCTAAATGCCCACAGGCCTTAACCAAACAGGATGATTTTTGAACCTGGGAATAAAGGAGACAGGGAAAGTTCTGGTTAATTCAGCGATCTGCCTTACCAAGTAATCTGAAACCATTTTTACATCTTTTTCTTTTTAGTTACTGTTTTCAAATTTTGAAATAATTATAGATTCACAAGAAGTTGCAAAGATAGTACACAGATGTTCCCCTCACCCAGTTTCCCCCAATGGTTTGACCTTACATTCATACAGTACAATATCAAAGCCAGGAATCTGACACTGGAACAAGGTGTGGCTAGTTCTACATATTATCACGTGTAGACCTGTGAAGCCATTGTCATCAGAATAAGAACTATTCTATCGCCACAAAGATCTCCCTTGCTTGACCCCTCTACATTCAAACCCACCTGGTCATCCACCGCAAGTTTCATGTAACAGTACTTACTCTTCCTAGATGATTATTCATTTCCTATTTGAACCTGGTCTAGTCTATTTCATTGCTGTAAAATGCTGTGCCATTGTTTGAATTAATGTCATGACCTATTTATAGGTCCTCATCCTCAACCGTAAAAACAATACAATCAACCTGACCATCCAGACTTATTTAGAATTTGGTTTGGCAAACACACACACACACACACACACACACACCCACCCACCCACCCCTGATTTATGGTGAATTCCCTTTTCTAATCACAGTTGCTCACTTTTGGTGATCTCAAGTTTGGTCCCACCTTTCTGTAGTTTTTCCTAGCGTCCCTCCTTAGCCTTCTAGGTTTTAAATTCTTTTCTCAGATCACTGAGCAGTCTCCGGATCCTGATAACTAATTTATTATTCCAACAGAAAGGACACAGATTTGCAACATGGGATTCCAATTCATTAATTCACTATGAGATTTATAATGGACCAATACAGTCGTTTCAATCAGCACCTACTAAGAAAATCCAAATATGATTACAGGGTTGCATGGTAAATGCAGATATGGAAAAAGGGGTGGTGATGGCCTACGGGGGCTTAGTCACCCCTCTCCTGTGCGACTCACGAATCTACTCTAGCTCTCAGGGATCAATTCCTGCCCTTGGTTCTTCAAAACTGAAAAACACTTACAAAATGGAGACTCTTCGACTCTCCTTTTCCGGAGACCCAGGCTGGGGGAGCCGGGGGCTAAAGGGGGGGCGAGAGTGGTGTTAATTTAATTCTAACACCTGAAATTACCTCCTGGGCTTGTGCTAATTTTTTCAAATTCAATTTTGTGGGGGTACCAGGATAACTTTCATCTTTCGGACAGGAAACATAATTTTAGTTTGGATTTTGCAAATACTTAGCAACTTAACACACCGCCTTTTCCTATCAGGTGTGCGATTTCGCTTTGGGTCCTCATTTTAGGCCGGGCCAAAGAACGAGGCCAAGGCTCGGCTTCCACCTTCATTCCCAGCACAGAATCCCCGCAAACACGCAGCCTTTCTGGAGGGGCCCGATCCTTTTCTGGATCTGGCATCTCAACAGCTGTGGCGATGATGCTGAATGATCCCAAGTCTACCTTGACATGAGAAAAAAATGTCCACTTACAAGAAAAATGGACTACTTAGACTGTGGGTGCAGAGGTTGGAAATGGCACGTTCTTCCCGTCCCCGCATCTTGCCGGAGCTTCACCAGCGCCCTAAAAAGTCCACTTTATTCCGCGGCCGGGCGGGGCGCGCCCCGAGGCTCGGTCCACGCCCCACCCCGCAGCCCCGCAGAGCCCGGCCTGAGGCCAGAGTCCCGGCTCCGAGGGGCCCCGCGCCCGCCCCGCCTCCCACAGGCCGGCGGCGGCCATGGCGGCCAGGCAGATCCCGGCGGTGGCGGGCGCCGCGCTCGGTAGGCAGCCTCCCGCCGCCCTGCCACCGAGACCTCTCTGGGCCGGAGCAGGGTGCCGGCCGCGCCTCAGCTTAACCCTCCGCCCCGCTTCCGAGGGAGACGGCGGCGGCGCCGGGTCCCGCTCGCAGCCCAGGCCGGAGGACCAGACGAGGCAGCAGGCGAGCGAACAGTTAACGCCGGCGGAGCGGCGGATCGTGGAGCTGCACGCGGCCGCCTGCGCGGTGAGGCCCCGCCCACTCGGGCCGGTCCCGCCCCTCCAGGTCCCGCCCCGCCCACGCAGTCCGGGCCCCGCCCACTCGGCCCCCCCGCCCCCCTCCGCTCCGGCCCGCGGCCCCGCCCCACGGCCCCGAGGTCTGTGCGCCTGCGCGTCCTGGACCGCCCGGGCCTCAGAGGCTGTCCCGCCGAGGGAGAGGTTGCTGGGAGCTGGCGGGTCCTGCCTCTGGCCCCTGCCCAGCACGCGCACTTCCAGCTCCGACCATTTCGCTTGAAAACTAACCACGGTTTCGTATTCTGGGCAAAGGGTTAGCGTGTGTCTGTCCTGAGTATGAGCGCAGTTCATTTCTGACCAGCGTCCGAGCTAAACTGCGATCGCAGTATGGGACCCATCGTCACGCCACTGTGTGTGTGATGGGGGAGCGGGTTAAGGAGTTGATGGAGGAGGTGGAGGAGCTGAGAAGTCACAGGAAATATTCGTGTTTGTCTGCACAGTTGGACACTTTACCATCCAATGATTTTAATAATGATAAAACAAACTTTTTAATTTTTGCTACCATTCTTTCGTCCTTTCTCTCTGCTCTGAAGGGGCACGATTACAAGAAAACTATAATCAGGCGTTTACATTCTTCCTAGATAATCTTGAGCTGTTTTCTTCTGTTTTGAGGATTTGACAGTTGCTCGTTAGCACCAATATCAAAACTTATCATCTCCCCTCACACTTTTTAAAACCTCAGACTACGTGAGTTTAAAGGTAGCAGGCTTATATTTTCATTATCTTGAGAGAGCAAGTGAGTTCTATAATAAAGATACAAAAACGGTGTGAAAGTGACCTATTTAGTACAGTGTGTATGACCAGTACTTGACAGGACTGCCTGTGTTATCTGGTGTGGCTTGAGCCCAAGAGGTAGAGAAGAAAACCTTGGAGGCGCCTCAGTTGCCTTTTTTTCCTTGACAGTAGGCCCTGAGAATCCCCGCCTGACTCATTCAAGTGTTGAAACCTCTGTGTTAAGATTCATCAGGAAATGAGTGGCAGCTCTTGATTGTTCTTGTTTATACTCTCTTAAACAACCATGTGTAATTTTTCCCCCTACTTTACCCTATAAATATGGTAAATATAAGCAAAAACATTCATTCTTTTTACAGCAAAGCCCAGTGGCATGTAAAGATGGGTTCACTCAGCCTGGGGAAGGAAAGAGACTTTTCTCCCTCAGGGAAGCATGCTTGTTTCATCAGTGGCAGCATCGCAGGTTCAGTCACTGTCCGGGAGACCATAAGTAAACCCAGTAACAAGCTTGTTGTTTTATTTTCCAACAAATCAGCGCCCCCTCACAGTGGCCCTCCTCTCGCCCTGTGGTGATCTGCATCACTGAACATCTTGCTCTCCAGTCGGACTGTCAGCCCTCTTCCTGCCTCTTCCTCTGTTGCCACGGTTACTTGAGGCTCATTGACAGAAGACAAATGAAGTTTGTGTGGGCAGCAAACAAGCTCAAAGCTTCTGAGCCGACATGGAAAGCAGGAGAGCAGGCACAAGTGCAGGAGCAATCTGTTAGGCTTCCAGGTTGCCGGATAATTGCCCTCAGAAGACTCCCAGCAGCTACGAAAAGTGAGAAGAAGGCTGCTAACACTATTCCCAGTGTTGTTTTGTTTTTCTTCCAAGTCTTCAAGCACAGGCTTTGTAAATAAAGAAGTGAGGTCTTGACAGTTGGTCATTCTAAAGTAGTGTTTAGTGCTCCTGGTTTCATGTAATCTGCTTCTGTGGTCCCAAAGGATTTGGGAGGCCCCTTCCACTGGCTTTGGGACTTGCTGGATTTCTGTGGCCCGGGTCTAGCTTTGCTGGAATGCCTTGGGGTAGACCTAGACTTGAACTCTGTTTGTCCTTTTGCTCCACACTTGCTCATGAAGCGGAGTGGGTTAAAACCTCAACCAGAATGAAATATTCCACCATTAAGAAAGCCACTCTGAAGAAGTAGTTTGTGGCACATACAAAGACGTACGTTAAAAAAGACATTCACGTTTCACGTGTATTTAAATGAAAAGGCTCTATGCAGAGAGATGCAGAGTTACTGCATGGTGAAAAGGTTATATAAAAAGCCCAGAAAAAAGTTCCTCTACAAAATCTCAAGGCTAAATAGTGTCACCCACGTGGCCCAGATCCACAGAAGAGGTTGCATTATTTGCTTTGCCTTCACGTGATGTACTTGGGACACTTTTTTAAAACCATATTTGAATGCAGGTAGAAGATGCTGCCTTTGTTTTTTTTTTTTTAAAGATTTTATTTATTTATTTTTTCCCCCAAAGCCCCAGTAGATAGTTGTGTGTCATAGCTGCACATCCTTCTAGTTGCTGTATGTGGGACGCGGCCTCAGCATGGCCGGAGAAGCAGCGCGTCGGTGCGCGCCCGGGATCCGAACCCGGGTCGCCAGCAGTGGAGCGCGCTCACTTAACCACCAAGCCACGGGGCCGGCCCCCAGATGCTGCCTTTGATATCTGAAGTGGTGGAGCAAAAATTGCTTTTGATCAAACTCGTGAAAGCATTGAGCATTAATATGTTAAAATAATACATTTTTTTTTTGCCTAAAAACATAACTAACAACACTCCAAAAAAAGAAATAGTGTAAAATGTGCAATGGAGTAACACATTGTGAAGGCAAAGAAAAGTGTTCAATAAGAGAGAAGCTAATACTTTTCTATAAGGACTGTTGGTTTTGATTATCACCTTTTCTGTAAGTTTAAATCATTACCCACATATTTTAAGTACTGAAATTGTAACTGCAACTTCTGAGTGAAAGTTCATTTTCAGCCTCTTAAGCTCTTAAAGTCATCTAAATCACCTGTTATTAAACTTGTTACCTAGAAACTGAATGAAAAATACCTGAGCAGCGGCTACATAGTAACCAGGTATAGAGGAGTTCTTGTTTTCCCATCAACTTCTCATTTTTCTCAACCTGTATATTTTCTCCTTATGTCACATAAAGTTGGATGGTATATAATGTTGGAAGGCATTCAGCCTTTAATTGCAAGTGCCACTCAAGTTGCCGGGAAGAAGTTTAATATTGTTTAAAGAAAATGTTGCGGTATTTTATGAGTAGAAATTATGGTGAGGAGATATGATGGATATTGAGATTAATGAATTGTTTTATTTCATTACTCTTCAGGCTGGCCAGCTAAACTACGTGGATCCAGCTACTGGCTATGTGGTGCTCACACAGCTCGCCCACTTGCAGAGAGGAGAATGTTGTGGCTCCGCCTGCAGACACGTGAGTTGCAAATTCTCGCATTACAGCAGCAGTTGGTGGTGCCTCTGTAACTTCGTAAATACCTATTATTTGAAAAACAAGTCAAATAAAAAAGCTAAATAGACCTGGAGTGCACTTTTCACAAGCTACTTTAGCCAAGGACAATGAAGTCCTTAGGACCAACATAGGACCTTTAAAGTTAATGGAATTTTGTAACATTTCATTGTGAGCATCAGTGCCTTGAAATGCTGTGACTTGAAATTCATGGGAGTTCTTTATTACAAGGAAACTTTTCACGAGGTTTCAAATAAGTCGTGTTCACTGGGCAAGTACAAAGAGGACAGGAAAAGAAATCCAGAATATTGCAAACTAGATCCCAGAAAGCATTTTTTCTTCATTATTAGCTGAATAAATAGAAACTTGCGAAGCATTGAGAGGTGGGTTTCCTTTAAGTGATAGTGATTTTCTTCCTTCCTTCCTTCCTCCCTCTTTTCCTTTCTTCTTTCCTTCCTTCCTTCCTTCCACCCTCCCTCCCTCCCTCCCTAGCTTCCTTGCTTCCTTTCCTCCTCTTCCTTCTTCCTCTCTCTCTCTCATTTTGTTGCCTGTTTTCTACTCTCTTTAAAATAACCATGAAACTAACTACCCCACACTTTGTGCTGTACATTTCCTAAAATGTATATTTCAGTGAATGTATATCTCTGTGTCCGCTGATTAAGATGAACTAACTAATCCTTCCCTATTTCGAGCAAAAAATAAATGGGAAGGGGTTCTTTACTGTAACTTTTTAAAAGCGTACTAGTAAGGTAAATTGTTATAGAGTTAAGATTCTAAGCAGATAACAACTTCTGTTTACAGACCATTTTGACTGTCTGTTTTGTGGGCAAGAAGGTATTAGTTCCTTTTGCTGACCCACTTTATAATTAAGGAATAGATGCAAAAAATGCATGTATTAACTGTAGTCGGTATTGAAAAATTAGACCTTCACTTTTAGGTATGTTCCTACCTGTACCATTAGCTGTTTCTAATCAAATGCATGAGAGCTTTGCATAAATTGAGGACCTGAGGATTTTCTAAGAGTGTGTTTTTGACAGTAAAAGTCTGAAAGTTGGAAGGATGCATTTAGGAAGTGATTCTTGGACCCTAATTAGGACCATTTGCCAGAGGTTGCCGTTATTCTCCTCTTAGTCTGCAGGACCCGATAGATCAAATGTGATCTATCCAACATCATTAGCAGTCTCTTTTTTTCACTGTGAGAAGTGTTGTACTTTTTTTTTGCAAGATGACTGTTAAATAATTGAATAATAATTTGTTTTGTTTCTTCTGCAGTGTCCGTATGGTCAAGTCAATGTTAAAGATCCATCTAAAAAGAAGCAATTCAATTCATATTTTTATGTTTGACAACAACTTCATCCTTGTTCTCCAACTGAACCTTATTTAAAAAAAAAAAACCCTAATCCAGAATTGCTCTCTGTGCTGTTAGTACTTGAGCCTAGTTTAATCTTAAGTATATATATTAAAAGAACATCAATAAAATGAAAAAGCTAGCAAATGTTTGTGTGTTTCTGAAATGGCACGTTGATAGTTATTTCCCTTTCTTTTTACTTCATTATCAGACACATATGTTGAAGAAAGAAAATAGTGACTGTTCCATTGAATAGATTAGTACCAATCGGGTCACATTAGTAGCTCTTGATTTTTCTTATAGCCTCAGTTCTGCTAGTGTTTTCTCCTCGGTGTGAACAACCCAAGGGAGGTTGCTGGCAAACAGAAGAGTTTGAATACATTCTTCATTTTATTTATATCCTGAGCTATAAGGAGACTGATAAAACGCTATCGTGTGCAGCATATGAGTGCCCGAGAAGCGCCATTCTGCATCAAGAAATGTTCTCATCTCCCATCTGTTCTCTCAATAAAAACTTTAAATCATTCTGACTTGGGGGTCAGGCCTGGTAAGATGCCTCGATTAAGCCACTGTTTCTTCTCTCCTCCACATTGTACCCTTCTGTGTCTCCTGGGACTTCCCAGGTGAATCTATCTTAGAACCTTTTATTAGCTTTACACCATTTCTAGTCCCTGCTGTGCAGCCCCTGGGCATCATTCTCCAATCTGGGTTAGGGGCTCCCAGGGACTATTCTGTCCACACCTTCTTCTCTGCTTCCCCCTGAGGATGATAGCCCCTAGGAAGCCTCTCCCTTAAATGAGGCTGCTGCCCACTTTCAGGGCTGGCTTTACTCAGAGCTCTCTTAGCAGAATCTGAAAGGTTCTCGAACATCTCAGGGGGCTGCTGTAGTCTCTGCCTGTGGCCAGAATGAGGGTTTTAGAGATCTTCAGTCACCAGAAGGTTCTGGTGCCTCCTCCCAAATTCAATTCAAAATAAAAGCACTTCTAAACTGAAAAGTGAAAAGAAGTACAGTAAAGTTCGTATATTCCCATTGTGACTTCTGTTGTTGTTCATTTTATGTCAAAAATTGTTTCCCCAAATTGTTGGCAAGTTTGGTGCCCCAGTTTTCCTGGAGCTGTAGTCGTCGTGCCCTCAGCCACACTGCCCGTGGGCCCTGTGAGGTATCAGCAGCCTCCTGGGATGTAAGGGGGCAGGTTTTGCCCATTCTAGAAATTAATTCGAGGAGGAGACTAGGAGAAGGGGGTCAGCAACGTGCTGAGGAGGCAGTTAGTCTTTCCGGAAAGGTTTATGGACCCCTGGGAGCCAATTTCCATCTTAAGTCAAGAAGCAACCAGCCTGCTCCATGTTCTCCACTCGATTTGGAGATTACCAAGGCCATTTTCTGGGTGGGGGCTGGATGCTTTTTTTCAGCGGTCCCAAGAGGGAGAAGAGAAGGAAATGGAGTCTGGAAAGGCCATCTTTCTGGAGAAACAAGAAACAGGAAAGGAAGTTCATTTTGAAAAGGGGCTCCGAGGTAGGGCAGTGCTTTGAGAAAGCCCCTTGGCAGATGGAAATAACCTATGGGCTGCCTCCTTCCTCGAGGCGGCTCTTTCCTCCTCCCAGGGCACTGCCTGCAGTGGGGAACTGGACCAAGGAGGAAGGACTCCGGGCGTCCATCCCGGAGGACCCTTATGTGGGATGTTTGTGACTCTTCCTGGCAGAACTCGAGCCTCCCTGGCAAAAATAGCACAGGAGCCGCCGCTGGTGGTGGCTGGGGGCGGGGGCTCTCACTCTTTCTTGTGTCTGGAGGCGGCAGCCAAGGTCTGAGGTTCTCCGCTGTGGTTCTGGGGAGATGCTTGTGAACCGCAGTCAGGGGTGGCGGCGTGCGGGTGCTCCCACATTAAACACAATACGGCCACATAAATGGGCCTCGCTGCGAGAGCTTCAAGCTATATTGTATTCGCACATTGTAAAGTAAAAATTCAGGTTTCTTATTGGGTGTGTGTACACAAACACATGTGGATGCGGGAAACAGAGACTTCGCCGTCAAGTCAACTCTGGCGCTGCTCCGCTTTCAAGGTTTCAGGAGACTCCTGCCGCAAGGCGCCATAAATCAAGGGAGATGGATTTCTAGATTGTTTCTAACACGGAAAGACCCGAGAGAAACTGGGGAATCTTGTTGTGGGGTTTATCGGTGTGGCGATGGGGATAGATTCCTGCAGAATGGTTCCTCCCTTCCCTGGGAAGGGCCCTGCCCTGGGCAGTCCTGGCAGCAGGTGGATTACCATGCACACTTCCCTGTCTTCAGAAGCCACATTGGCCCCATCGATTTTGCAGAGCAAGAAAGAGGAGGGCTTTTATTTATTTATTTTTTCCTAGTGAAACTTGGGGCTCCCAAACCAGGTGCGTTTGGAACAGAAGAGGCCGCGAGAGGCGGAGATGCTCCCTGGGGCCTGCGCGGGTCTTCATTCTGCCGTAGGGCCCCTTATCCTGCGGCGTCCCCAAAGTCTGTTCTGCACGCACGCCGGGTTCCGCCGCCAGAAACCAGCTGGGCTTAGATTCGTCTCCAGACAAGGCCAGGGAGGGGCACACTACCAGGCGGACAGCCGTCGGCAGATTGCCTTCCTATGGACACTTTGCGACCTCACAGTCCCCGGCTAGGCCAGAAGGAACGTCCCCTCCACTCCATGCCAGCACCTGCCATTCCATCTTCTCTCCGTTCCAGCAAAGGCTTGAGTTTGTGCACTGGACGCCTGCCCATGGTGGAGGATTTAAAACTCGGTGCTACTTTTTCACTACCCTGCAACAATTAAAAGGTACTTCTAGTTGTCAAAGCTCTCTCTCCTCTCAGAAAAAAAAGTCAGAGGTTTAAGAGTGTGCGAATGTGTGTGTGAGTGTGTGTGTGTGTGTGAGGGGGTTGTCAGCATCCTCTTGCGCTCCTCTGTGGAGGGCCTGATTTCTGAGAGAAGGTTGTGGAGGAACCCGCAGCTCTTTAGCTAGGGGTTGGCTCAGCTACCCAGGACCTCCGGATGCCCGGCTGTGTGCCGGGGCGCCCCGCGCTGGGTTGATCGTCGCCCCCACAAACAGTTTCAAGGTTGGGCTCATGACACAAAACCTCCAGGCTCACGCTCCCCTTCCTGAGACTAGGGGTGTAAAAGAGAGTGTAAACCCGAAACTCATAAGCTCTGGAGGATTGGGAGATTCACGACGACCGCATCTTCCCACCCAAAATTTGTATTCCAAAGTGTGAGCATCGGCGTGCGCTTCAGTGCGCGCGCGCCTCTGTGTGTGCGTGTGTGTGTGTGTGCGCGCGTGCAGAACGCATGTTTTTATCAAATACCAAAAACGGTTCGGGACCCAAAAGAGGATAAAAACCGCTGCTTTGGACAGGGATGAGTGAGAGCACCTAAGCGTTTTCGGGTCGGTATCGCCGTTCATCCACTCGATGGCCTCGCCGGCGAGCATAGAAGCTGAACCTTGTCGCCTCCCTGGCTGCGAACATGCGCCGAGATTGGAGGGATTCTCGAGGAGAGAAAGAACTAAGGAAGCCGGAATGGGAAGGGGAAAGTCGGGGGTGAGGGGAGCTTAGAAGGTAAACTAGTGGGACTAGTTGGCAGGTGGGACTGGTAGTGAAGCCAAGTGTTCGGGTAGAAAGAGGGACTCCGTCCGGGGTCCTCTGAGCCACATTCGGGATTTGGAATGGAAAGAGAAAGCCAGAGGGCTTGGATTGGCGGCTCCCGCTGGATCCCTCACCACCCCTAAACTGCGGCGGAGCGCGCGGGGCCGGCGGAGAGGTGGGTCCAACCCGGCACAGCCCCACTTGGCCCCGCATCCCACGCTGTTTTTGCAGGCGGCTCTTCCGCGCGCGGGCGCCCCCAGCCCTCGCCGCCCTCGGCCCACGCGCCGCGGAAGAGCCGCTCCGGTGGCCCAGGGGGAGGGGCGGGTAGGGAGGGCGGCACACCGCCCGGACCCGCGTCCCGGGGCGGCCAATCTCGCTGCTCACACCCGCTTTCCCATGCGCGCGGGAGCCTCCCAGTGGTCCCCGCCCCCCATCTCCGACTGCGAGGGGCGCACTGGGTGGGGGAGTGGGTAAATAATTGGCCAGAGGCCCGGCTGCCTGGTCCTCCCTCCGCTTCCCCGTGGCCTGACTGCGCCCGAGGCTGCTGGGGCGACGCAGCCCCTCGGGAACCGGAGACCAGGTAACACGGCCCCCGCCCCGTCCCGGGTCTGGGAGTCTGTCTGTGTCCCCGTGAATGTGCGTCTCCCATGATTTGAGTCGGTTTCCTCCCGGAAGGTTAATCGCCCTCCCACCTCCTAGCTGGGGCCGGGCGGCAGAAACACCTCCGGCCGGCGCGCTGACCCGGCCGGGAATGCCGCCCCCGAGCGCAGGGCGCATCCCGAAGGGCTGGGTTCCCGGCGCCCAGTCCGGGAGCGCCGAGAAGGAAGGGAGGACTGTGAGGGGAGGGCGGGGATGTGGCGGGTGAGCAATCAATGGTTTAGCCTCGCTCCCGGCAGAAGCTACCGCCCCTTCACCGTCTATGCAGGCACCAGCTGCCGCAGCATCTTTTAGGTACGAGCCCCGGGAAGGCAGAGGCCGGCTGGGGGACCGGGAGCCCAGGGCGCGCCGCGGGACTCCAGCCGCCAGCCGCGCCCAAGCCTCGAGATGCTCCGGGCTTTATGAGGTTCAGTTACGGCCGAGTCCTCCATTAACACCTCCCCTGGTTATTGAGGCGCTGGAAGGGCTGAACGCAGCCTCAGAGCGTGGCTCCGGGCACAGGCCCGCGCCTGTGCCCTCTGCCCACCCTCCCTCCTTCCCTTCCCGATCTGGAAGCATAAATAGAAAATAAAAGACAGGTGGAGGGAGCTGCGGGTCAGAGGTGAGGGGTTGGGGTCAATCCGACAGACAGCGAGAGAACGAGAGAGAGAGAGGGAGAGAGGGAGAGAGAGAGTGAGGAAGATTCATTTCCATCCAACGGTTTATTTATTTGGATTAACAGAGAACCCCTCGGCGAGACTTGGGGACCAGCCCGCACCTCTGGCCGCCGCCTCCCGCCTTCCCTTGCCGAGGACAGGGTTCTTAGGGGGAACGTCTGCAGTGCAAGGTAAGATCCCCACGGGGGTTGTCTCGTTGGAGCGGTTTTCTGGCCTCGGTGCGCGCCCAGA